GTGTTTCAAGGGATTAATAAATATCTCTGTTGCTGAAGCAGATGAAGTATAGCTTGTGTTTGTCACTTGACTGGTTTTGAGTTGGAAGCTTGTCTTGCAGGAAGCACACCCATAGCAAATGGCTTTGGCACACTGCTGCTAATTTCTTCTTGTTCGTTCAAGGAAGAACTTTCCCCCAGAGACGTAAGTTACAGCGGTTCGGACTGTTTGCTGAGGGAACCCCATCTACATCATTTTAAATCACAGCTTTTGTTGTATTTAGTACACTACTGTATTTAGTGCGTTAGCTGATATGTTGAAACCACCCTAAAACATACACAAATGTAAGTGGATGAAGTCAATAGAAAAACTTATGGGAATTTGAGCGGCGCTCATAGCAGGCCTTAAATTGAAGAGTTTCATTCTATTTTTGTTTTGCAGTGAGCTGTCATGAAGCTCTCATGTCAAAGTGATAAATTTGGCAACAGTAATAAAATTACCTTGTATTTAGGGATCAGCCTTAAGGAATTTGGGTTAGTCTTTCCACCTTGTGCGGCTGGCAGTGGGAATGCAGCAGGCAAAGCAAGCTCCTGTGAAGGAAAGCAGTTTTCCCTGGCTTCTGAAGCCATGACTTCTTTTCACCAGAGTTTTTTGGGTTTCCTTTCTTGGGCTGCAGGTGTTGGGGGTATGAGGCTTGTTATGGCCTGTGGGGCCCCTGCCTAGCAGGAGGGAGAATGCCAATTCAAAACTTTCCCTTTGTGCTTTTGCAATGCAAATATGTCGAGTCCAACCTTTGAAAACTTGCTGATAAGCTGTTATCGGCCAACAGTTAAGACAACAAACGCTCCCACCTTGCTGAGTTGGGATAGGAGGCTTCGCAGCCTGGGTACAAAAATGGTGTATTAAGCTGGGCGGCAGAGCCGCCGGCCTGGGGACAAAGTTTCCTCTCCGAAGAAATCAACTGCAGCTGCTAGTGTCATGCCATTTGTGCAGTCTTCCCCGTAAGTATTTATTTTGCACAAAGTGTTTTGAACTAGATGCGATCACATGAATGCAGAACCATGTTACAGCGTTGAGCAGCATCCTCAAGATCTGAAGTTGGACGCAGGAAACGAAATCCGAGCTCCGCTGACAACAATGCGGACGGTCCCATTGATTTCAGTACAGCCAGGCTTTCACCACGAGTAAGGAAATTTCAAAGCAAATAATGTTCTGTTTGTTCAGTTCTTTAAACAAAATACATCTGCAGGGGATAGCATTTGAATTCAAATATTCCAGATTCTGCTGGTATTTTGTTAGGAGAAACACTAGACTGAAGGAATTCCTTGGGTCCATGATAGCTAAGATGTTTTTTTAAAGGGGATCCAGTCACCAGTTGTTTTGTGACTATTTGCAGTTTGTGTGATTTTTTTTTTTTTACGTGTTGCATACTCTTGTTTTTGTATTTGTTCTATTTTAACAGTTTTTATCAAGGGGATAAGTGGATTTATGTGTTTTTAAGAGTTTAAATCCATGAGAGAGAGTGCTGTTTGTATACTGGCATATATATGCATAAAATCTTTCACGTTGAACCAGAAGGCAACCTGGAAGGCTATAAAAGACCACGGTAAATGCAAGTGGCTAAGCTGATCAGCTGGTAAAAGTGCTTAGGCCCCAGAAATCTCTTCTCATCTCGGGTACTGGCAGTTCTTATCTATCTTACCAGCTATGAAAAGATATTTTAAACTCTGTCCTGTGTTTTTTTCATATGAAATTCAGTAATTTATTTCAGTGGCATGCTGCCAACTTTGGGCATCTGCAGTTGCATGGTTTTTAAGAGCATCTCTTCCATCTAGTGTGTTGTTTTCTATGTATGTGAATTATTTGTGTTTAGAACTACAGCGAGTTCAACGCCAGTCTCTCCCTTGTAATGTTTTTTGATTCTCTCAAGTCTTTATTGTTTCATTTGCTTAGTATCTTATAGCGTACTTTTTTTGCCAAAGAAAATGAACTTGAGGGTGTGTGGTATATACATATAGATCTAAATATATATATTAATGTAATATATATGTGCACACTTGTCCTGTCTTAAAACAGACATAGAAGTCGTGATCACTGTTTTTCTGTTTTTTGTTTATTGACTTAATAACAGAACCACCAAAGAAGTTTCTTGTAAATAATGGCAAACATACATTTTTGAACATAAAATAAGTATGAACTCTAAAATTCACCCAATAAGCCTGTTAAAACATGACACTATATAGACACATATGACCCATGGCACGTGTAGATTTACTCTGGTGTTCGGATTTTCAATTTCAGAAATTCTTAAAGCAGCCTTCCACACCTCTGACTCTTCCACTGCTTAATGAGCATTGTTCTCTGCCACGGTGGTATGCACTAATCATGTGGCAATTAGTGAAATAACTTATGTACCGTATAGTATTTTCCCTATTTCTAGTTTTTTTTGCTAGGTGTTTGACACGGTCTGTAACAGGGTGTACGTGCGCTCATCTGCGTTGGAGCGGTCAAGTGTTTGCACTTTGAATTTGGATGCCATTCAATGGAAGTGAGCATTTGGATGCTCGCTCATTTTGTTTGTCCCGTGTGTCCATGCTGCTCTTGGGACTTGACCGCGGGGCCGGTGTGCTGGTGCCAGCGAGATGCCGGCTGGCTTAAATGGTCTTGGGCCGCTTCCATAGCAAAACTGCGTGTGCCCCAGATTCTGCCAGAGCAATGCTCACGTTCACGGCCAGTAGTTTTGCCTGGAGGTGGTGTACAGCAGAGCTTCGCTGGCTCTTCTCTGATTTGGGGGTTTTATTTTTCTCTGCAAACTGCTGAGCGAAATGGGAGAAGTCCCCCAATGCCATTTGCTCAAATGGTGCAGCGTGAGAGCGCAGCTGCGGCAAGAGGTTTCAGTGCACTGGGAGGATTATCTTCTGCTGCTGCCGATGATGGAAGGATGTAAACGGTTGAACAGATATACTACATTTGTGCGTCCGTTGTTGCCGGTATTGCTGTATTGACTGTGCTTGCACTGGAAATTATCCTGTGACTGAAAGACTAACACAGGGCTACAGTGGTTGCAGATGGGGACTTTCTCATGCAAGAACGTTGCTGTGTCGTCGCTCTCCCTTTGATAGAGCAAATACAGCCTCTGAATATAGCCTAACCTTGACTTCGCGAGCCTCCTTGTTGGGAATGTGGGATTGCCTTTCCTGTTATACTCGCTGCTTTATGTCAAATTAGGGAAGATAAGGCAAGAACTAACGCAACTGAACTGAACTGAAAGAGGCTTGCAGAATTTACGCTGCTGTCGGCAAATGCTTGTTGAGTTGAGGTATCGGCTGCGAACGTGTGCTGCAGGACTTCCATGCTATGTAGTGGTCAGTAGTTTCTAAGGCATGTTCCACTGAAATTGTTTGATTTCCAAAACTTTTAACTATTTTTTCTCAAATACAAGATTTTCAGGTTTGTTTCCAGTAACAGACTGCAATTGTTTATTTGCTATGTAGTGTGCGTACTCATGATGACAAACTCACGACCTGCTTTTGGGGAATTATTTTTGGTGTTGTCATCGAAAGCTGCTGTTTCAGAATGTGACTGCTAGTAACTAAATCTCCCGGAAGAGCACATCACCTACCAGAAAAGATTGTGAAGAGCGTGTACGTTGAATGCTTATTGCTTTTGAGGGAAACCAAGAAAACCGACAGTCCGTGCTGCTGTTTCAATGGCTTTTTATTTATTGCTATCCCTTATCTAAGACTGCTGGTGGCACCTTTTTTTTTTTTTTTTCTTGCTAAGGATTGTTATAAATCTCCAATTATCATGTTTCCTAGAGAACTTCTGAAATAATACTAAAGTCAATCGTGGGTTAAATCCAAATATGCAGTTTTGACGTGGGGGGAGAATACATGATGCTTACTCCTACTTCTACAGAAGGTTAGGAGCATGCTGGACTTGACAGACTTTGGGAGCAGTCTTGGTAGTGGCTGAATTGTGTGTGGTGCATAAAAAGAAGCAGATGGTGCCTATGGTTTTGCAAGGTGATAACCAACTGCCTTTTGTTTTCTAAAGCCTCTTAATTCTGGGAGGACAATTGTTTTGGTATTACTGAGTCCGCTTTTTCAACGCTTTAGTAGTTGTGTTGTCTGTGACGATCTACGGGTATAAGGAAACATTTGCAGATAGAGCAATTACCTCCTTAAGACCAACTAGTTCAGTCTTTGCGTTGCAGGGGAGCGTCAGTCATTTGTGTAACTTGAAAATGTTATGGAAATATTCTTTTTAGTTTTATAAATAATTGGGATAAGTCTTGCAGCCTTTTAGATTCTGTGGTGCGGGGTGGGAAGAAGATGCAGTAGGCTCCAGACTGGAAGGCTCATATAACGCTTGTATGTTTGATAGCAAGAGGAATTTGCGAGCAAATTGCGAGGAAATTGCGAGGAATTTAATAGCAAGAGGTATTGCGAGTTATGGGTGTGTTGGAGGAGCGTAATGCCTTTTATACATTTACTAATGCTTGCTAAAAATAAAAAGAAATAATGTGGAGTGTAGGAATAAAACTAAGGGAAAAAGGTCATTTATAGATTTTCTTGCAATGCACCATCCTGGATTAGATTTTAGAAATAACATACTTTTAAATATGGAAAGCTATAAGCTCTCTTACTGGAGCTGCTTGCTTACTTTTGATTAAATCCTTGTACTGTTTTTTTTTTTTTTAGGAGTATATATGCCTGTGCTAAGAAAGGATGTGCTAAATGAGCCAAGAGGTCTTTTTCTACTCCCAGCTTCCATATTTCCTTTCAAAAGTGCATAGATAATTTTGTGTGTTTTTCATTGCATTTAAAAGTGTGCATGTAACATCGGGATGTGCTGATGGGATGCACTGGTAATCATTTGTCTGCATGGTTCACGCCTAAAGTGGTCCTTCTGGGATTAGGTTTTCTTGCTGTTATGTTTCAGAGGGATCTTAGGGACATTTATTCAAGTATATTTTTGTTTAATAGGATTCTGAGTTTTCTCATTACTCTTCTTTTTAGAGAGAAGAAGTCAGTGCTGGACTCTCTTAAACATTACTCGTGGTACAACTTCAGAGAGCAGCTTGATTTATCTCACTTGAAGAGGAGGCATATGTGCAGTAAGCCAAGAGGACATGGGCTTTCAGTGCATCTGGCAAAATGAGCAGGTATCAGCAACTGTTTGTGTTTTAACCGTAGAAGCTTGAAGAGACATGAAACCATAAAGCACGCACTCCTGCAGTTGTCGTTAAATTTTAGATATACTTTTCCTTTTTACCGGCAGGTAAGTTTACCTGTTGATTTATATAGTGTTCATACCCGTTTCATGGCTGAACTTGCTCACTTGCAGTAGCTTGGTTGCAGGACGCCTGAAGGGGGTGCAATTCCTGCGTGAGTAGATAGGGACAAGTGCTAAAGGGTTGTTTGCATAGACCATGAGTTGAATTTAGTCTGACAGTGTTCAGATTTTTCAAATTTAACTTGACATCTGAAAGCATTTGAATCTATTGATTCAGATTTATTGATGTTGTGAGGGGACAACTTTGATATGTTAATTTTCCATTACTTTAACTACCCTTTTGTTGTACTTAACTCTGGTAACTGGCTGCCTTTTGGAGAATGCAGATTTCGTCACAGGACTCCCAGGCCACTTTCAACTGAGTAGAGATACCGGTGAAGCTCCAGCCAACACAAGAGAACAGCATTTCATTTTGAAATGTCGAGCATGTTACAAAGTAAATAACATCAGAGCTATCTGTCTTTAGCAATATGTTTGTTCTCAGGCAAACTATTCATCTTTTATAAAATCCTAAGTAGTGTCAAACTTTACTACTGGAGCTAACCCCTCTGCCATGGGTATTTGGATTTGCTGGCTCTCTTGTTGCTGGTTCTGGGTCTGCTGTTTGGTGCCGTAGGCAATGCGGAGGCGTCCTGCTCCAGTCTGACTGACTTGGTCTCTTTGAGTTTCCTCTATTTAAATAGCGTCCTAGTTCTCAGGACATCAGTGTTTTCTGAGTTAGAAAGCCTTCTGCGTGCCTTCAGGGAGCTCCCTGTAAGGCAAAGGTCTTGCCTATTTGCCTGAGAGCTCTGGCTCACGAGGAGCCCCGTCTCAGATGTGTCGATCCTGTCTGTTGATACCGGACTGATTACAGTTTCATTTTCTGAGGAGCGGCCAACCATGCAAGAACACCTTTGGACGCAATAAAGAGATCACTTGGGACATAGTGTTGGAAGCTTTAAGGATGACAGCAGTGCGACCTTTTAATTTCGTATGTTACTGTTACTTTGAGCTTTGAAATTCAGCCTGCCTGTCTTCCTATTAAAAATGGTGCATTTCTAGCACAAGTTACGCTTGATGCTGCAGATCCTGCAATAATTCTTTCTTCTGTATTGTGCGAGGGGTTAGACTAAATGGCCGGATAGTTCCTTTAGTCTTCAAGCTTATTTTTCTTGCTCTCTGTCTGCAAAGAGAATCATTATATAATCTGCTTTCACTTCTGAGGTTTGAAATAAATGGCAGGGAGTTTCTTTCTTTGTGTCTCGTGTTCTCTAATCTCCTAATGTATATGTGTGAGCTTGTGACGCTTTTGGTAATGCGTTTTGCCTTCGATGGTAGCAGGCTGCTTAATGTATTTTGGGTGTTGCTATTCCTAAGAATGTCATGCGTTGAATGTGTCACCTCTGCAATTTTTTAGCTTAACCGTACCTGGTTTATGTTCTATAAAGGAAAATGGTAATACTTGTAATTCACCAAACACTGCTTTGTTGCTATGTAAGCCCTCAGAAAGAACTGATATTCGCTTTTACAGTGGGCGATGCTTGATATATATTTGTGTATGTGGTTTTCGGACTACTTTATCTTTTGCTTTTGTAATTAGTGTCAAGAATATACTTTTGCTGTTAGGCTTCCACTGGTCAGCTTAAACTGTTTGTGAAAGCGCATACGATTACTAATTTCTGAGAAGTTGCATTAGTAAAAAATATTTTCACGGTATTTTACTGTCTGACATTCTGCATTGCATGCATGTATCTATGCAAAGAACTGTGAAAAGGAGCAAATTGTATCACTTTGTAATCTTCTGGACGTTAAGTTTAGAGGAGTGTTTTCCTGAAAGTTTCCTTCTGTTTTTTGTTTTCTGTGCAGAAGCTAGCTGAAAAATCACTTGCCCGTCTCTATTTGTACAATTACCTAAAGCGTTTTCTTCAGGTAGCGAATAGGTATGTGCAGAATGCAGGAAGACTTTTAGTTGCTTCTTGCAAGGGGATGGAAAATGATTTTGTCCTTTTTCTTTAGGTTTGTATGATCTTCTTCATAAGAATATACTTCATGCAGAGAAAGCTACAGATAGTAAGTTTTGTGAGGTTACTGAGCCCCCAGTTTGTAGGATTGCAGGAAGGCAAGAGAGAGTTACGTTTTGGGATTTGTTTCTTAATACAAAAGCTCTGTTTTCACCTGTCCTATTAGGAGTGGCTGGGTGCCTTAGCAGCAGAGCAGCTGTATATTTAGATTCTAGCCTAGCTTTCATATTATGGATGGTAATTAAGGTGAAGTATTTTGCTGAGGAATTAAATTCTCCTTTGATTTGAACTGGTATCATCTCAATGAAAGTAATTAGTTGCATGAACTACCCTGTCCTTGCTTCATCAATGACAATTCATCAGCTGCTTCATCAAGTTTGCTTCTCCTTTTTATTTATCTCATCTTTTCAGTTAATAGACAAGGCACTCTGGAGCGCTAAATACGTAGCAAGTCTTGTAATAGAGGTGGCTTGAGGACACAGAAGCACTGCTTGTAAGGGGGGTTTATGATCTTTAGTAGATTGTCATTTGGGGATCAAGTGAACCAGGCAAGCTTCTAATCATGCAGCCTGTCTTTTTTCTCCTGTAATGTGTTGTACCTTTATGAAAAGGATACATGCGCTTTCAGCAAACCTTGTCTGACCACTAAATGGGAAATTGGAGTTGGAGCATGCTCACATCTCTCAGCTTGAAGGGAAAGTGTAGGCACCTGTTTTCACGCTGCTTCTCCTTGTGTAGAACTGTAGGTTTCATATGCTTTTATGAAAGAATTGTCCTAGGAGGTCCTAGGTTACTGCTATAGCTAACATGTATTTGAACATGGCTGTCATTCTTTCTCTCTTAAGCACCATGCTGCTAAATACAAGCCATCATTATTTCCTCTGGATAGGCACAATCCCGTGCAATACAAAATGGGTGGTTGGGTTCAGCTGGAGTATTAGGACATTGGCCAGCTATTCTGTGCCCCCTTGGTGAATGCCATTTGATTTCTGGCTATTCTTTAAGGACAGCTCTAGGACTTAATTTGAAAACCAAATATTCAAAGCACCGTGCAGCATCTGAGAAAGTCCTGCTTGGGACTGCTTTCCACGTGATATTGCAGTTGTCCAGCATAGTGCTTAAACAAGAAGCAAGATCACTGCTGCTAACAGATTTAACAGTCTTAATCTGAATATTCTGAATCAAAATTCCATTAAATGTAATGACTGTAGCTGTTTAAAGTGCTGTCATTACCCTTCAAAAATGTATAGTTCTGTGTCATGGTTCCTTAGACAAACTGGGAGGATTGAGTCCTAGGACCTCCATTTAGCAGCAGTGGAAAAGAAGAAATGTCTTTGGGGAAAGAGAATCAAAGAGAAGCACTGAGCTCTAAAGAAGAGGCAACTTTGTGATTGGTGCTAGACTTAGCAGAGTCTGAGAGGAAGATACCGAGCAGGATTTATTTCTCTTAAGAACATTACGTAGGCCTAATCCACTGTTTTCGAAGAAACTGTTTCACAGCAATATAGAGAACTGTTAAAATTCTAAAAATAGTGCCTTATTTCGACGGCTTCTGCTTTCTAAATGCTTGACTTCTCAGTGGGCTTTCAACACTTCTTGTAGCTGAATCCTATTCCTCAAAGAGGTTGCACAGCAGTAGCATGGGTAGAAAGGTTTAATCCAGCGAGACCTCGTACCGCAAAAGATCAGATTAATTTTTAAACTTGTGGTCTTGCTGCAAAGCTTTCAGTTCTTCAGTATCTGCACAGAAAAAAAGAGCTGAAAGGTTCCAAAAGATCATCTTGACCCTCTGCCTCAAAGTGTCATAGCAATTGCTAGGCAATTCTTGGGGGGAGTGTTTTTTCTTCTATCTGATATATGAGGCAACATAACTTCCTTAGGCTCTAGTGCTTCACTGTATTTACCTTTTAGAAGATTTCTTCTACTGGCTTAAGTAAACTTCTCTTGTTGCGATTTAAGTCCATGACTCCTTCTATTCGCCATGGAGGTGAAGGATAGGTTTTCTTTTTCTTTGCAGAAACCTTTTCTATGTTTAAGGACCCTTATTGTATCTCCTTCTCAACATTATCTTTTCTTTTTACATTTTCAGACTGAGCAGCTCTATTAGTTCCCTTGTAGCTCATATTAACCCTTTGGCTTTTCTTGTAGTTCTGCCACGGATAATCTTTCTTGACTTATTGCACTCCAGAAAATGGACTTGCATGTCCAGCTAAGGCCTTACCAAAACTGGGAAGACTAGGAGGGTTACTTCTGCTCTCCCATACTTGTTCTCCTGTCTATGGGTAAAAGTTGCCTTGTTTATGACAGCTTGTATTCAGGTTGTGATCTTCACTACTGCCAAATCTGTGTCCACGCTACAACTGCTTGGCCAGTTCTTCTTGTATTTGTGCATTTGATGATTTTTACCTCTGAACAGAACTTCCCCTTTGCCCTTGTGGAATTGTACCCCATTTTTGAATCATTTTTCCAGTTTCACTAATTCTCCCCAACAGTTTCTCACTTATGCATGGGCAGATCAATGCCTTTTTGTAGGAATAACATAAATCACAGTACTTTCCTTTCCAGCTAGCGTTAATAGCGAGGGTTCGTTGTCATAGTCTCCCATTTCTTTCTAGCAGTGTTTTGCAGGCTCCTAGCCAGGGAGAGGAAAGGTGACTGCATCTGCTGTGGGAAGCTGGGTCAGCATTACAGGAACCTTTTGCAATATTTCTCATGGCTGGCAGTTCTGTTAGCACTAATTATTGATATGGAAGACTTTATTTTGGAATGTTTTCTTGGAGGAACATTATTTGATGGCTGTTTTCCCTGAACACATAGCTCTTTTGTTTCTCAGAGGTTCTCTGCTAAAGGTTTTTGCAAATGACTTCAA